GGAGAGAGGGAAGTGTGGTCATCTTTGCTTAGACTGCGGCCCTCGCGACCCGGTTCCGGATAAGCAGAGGAAAATGGATAAATGGATGGATTTGTCATCTAATCTTGTAAACAAGCTGATGGCCAACCGTTCGGCCCCCTAATGAGATTGCACATACAGTGAAGGCAATTATTGTTTTAAATATCATCACCATTTCAGTGAGTCTGAATGGTTCACTGAGGGAAGAAGCTTTGAGGCAGGTGTTATTTCTCCTCTTCTGTTATTACCTAAATATTTTTACACTCCTATTTTACTTTCCTCGGGCAGCTGCAGTGCTCTGTTCTGTGTAAGTGAGTGAATAGTATGTGTATGTGCTTTTCTGACAGGTAATATGCGGTGGTATAGGAGTGTGAACAGTACATAAAAGAATGGAACTAGAAAAGAGTACATCAATAAACTTTCATACATTTTATTTCTATCTATTTGGTGCAATGAAACAATTTCTGATATGGTATTTATTTTTAGGTTCTGCTTTGAAACAAAATCATCGCTCTTAATCTTTTCTCAGTGATATTGGAAAAACAATTCCTGTTTTTTTAGATCATATATTATATTATATATTATCATATATTTTTAATGCATTTATAGGCCAAAATAAGAAAACAGTAATTTACACATCTGAAGGATTTTTCTCTGTCTCCCCTCTTGTGTGTATATGTGCATTTGTCAGAGAGCTTCTGTTTTGGTAGATCAGTAGGAAGTGGTAGTCCACTGGGATAGCCCTGTTTCTTTGTTCTCCTGCTGACAATGGAGGACTCACAGTCAGTCTAAAGGGAGAAATTATGTCCCAGAGCAGTCTGGGAGAAGAACAAATGCATATACACACAGGCTAGTTCTCACCTGCTACTCATGTGGGGCATGACCTCAATAAGAACTCGATACTGTTGTATTTGTAAAGTCCTCAACACTATGTGCAGACCACTTTTAAAAGCTGTAACAGTTAGGCCTAGGGTTCATATAAAAATTTGGTTCTGCCAGAATAAATAGTTGTCTTTCCTGGATTTCATTCTGTGCTTTATGTATAACTGTGGTTTTAAAATGAACAGCATTTCTATGTTTGAGAATCATTGATTGAAATTGAAAAAAAATGAAAATTCTTTTTAATATTGGTTGATTCATACTGTACAGTAATATGTAATAACATCTTGATGATGTCATTAATGGATTTTTTCAGTTATAACTCCACCTAAGTGTATTCTTTCTTCTCTGTTACAACAGGTAAGGAGGAGCCAACCACCTATACCTGCACTACATGCAAGCAGTCGTATGGCAGTGCCTGGTTCTTGCTGCAGCATGCTCAGAATACCCATGGTTTCCGTATCTACCTGGAAAGTGAACATGGCAGCCCTCTCACACCTCGCATGGGTGGGCCCTCCTCCCTGGGTGGAGGTGCAGACTGCTCTTCTCAGCCTCCACTTCATGGCCTCCATTTGCCTCCCGATGCAAGCCCCTTCAACCTGCTCCGCATCCCTGGCTCGGGCTCAGGTGGTAGGGACAGTGCTGGAGCAGGGGGTACAGTTGGTGCCACTGGCACTGCTGGTGGGGCCCATCATCAGCGTTTTCCTCCCACACCACCCCTTTTCAGCCCCCCTCCAAGGAATCACTTGGACCCCCACCACTTGAGCCCAGAGGAGCTGGCGCTGGCAGCCCACCACCCGAGTGCCTTTGACAGGGTGCTGCGCCTCAATCCTCCTCTGCCCCTGGACCCCCCTCCAACAATGGACTTCTCAAGGCGACTACGGGAGTTGGCGGGCAACACCTCAGGATCCACTCCCCCACTATCCCCCAGTCGGCCCAGCCCAATGCAGCGCTTGCTCCAGCCATTCCAGACAGGGGGAGGTAGTGGAGGAACAGGGGTTGTAGGGGGTAATAAACCTCCATATCTTGCTACCCCACCCCCTCTTCCAGGCTCCATGCAGTCACCTGTGGGCTCTCAGACGACTCCTACAACCCCTCTCCCCTCATCGGGGGTAACACCCTCTTCCACCACCCCAATGAAATCAAAGTGTTGTGAGTTTTGTGGCAAGGCCTTCAAGTTTCAGAGTAACCTAATAGTGCACCGACGCAGCCACACAGGAGAGAAGCCGTACAAATGTCATCTCTGTGATCATGCTTGTACGCAGGCTAGTAAACTGAAGCGCCACATGAAGACGCACATGCACAAATCCTCCTCACCAAACACAGGCAAGTCAGAGGATGGGCTCTCAACAGCCTCCTCTCCAGAGCCTGGCACCAGTGAACACATGGCCAGTGCAAGCAATGCCCTTAAGTCAGTTGTGGCCAAGCTGAAAAGTGAGACTGACCGCATGCTACGTGAGAATGGTGAGGAGGAGGAGGAGGAGGAGGAAGAGGAAGAAGAGGAAGAGGAGGAAGAGGAGGAGGAGGAGGAGGAGGAGGAAGAGGAGGAGAGAGAGGAAGAAGAAGAGCAAAATGGATTAAGGACAGCCAGAAGAAACAACAGTTATCATTTTGGCTTGAATCTTGAACCAGCACGTCAGCATGAAAACAACGGCAGTATCGGAAGCCGACTGGAAGCAGTGACTGATGAGGGGTCCATCCCTTGTTCATTGCCTGAGGTGATGCAGGGGATGGGTCTGGCTGCTACCATGCAGCACTTCAGTGATGCCCTAAACGCACACAAACGGAATGCCATGGTCCAAGAGAACCACCTGCACCATCACCTCAATCGAGACCATCACCACAATCACGAGATGTGTGATGGGGGCTCAGTTCTGGAAACAGATCGTGGGGAGGAGGGCTCTGTCTCAACAGTGAATGGGCGAGGAGCATCCCCTAATGAATCTGCCTCTGTTGGACTCTCTAAGAAACTGCTTCTGGGTAGCCCCAGTCCACTCAGTCCTTTCTCCAAACGCATCAAGCTGGAAAAGGAATTTGACCTGCCCACTCCCACAATCCCTAACACAGAGAATGTCTACTCACAGTGGTTGGCTGGCTATGCTGCCTCCCGACAGCTCAAGGACCCTTTTCTGAACTTTGGGGATTCCAGACAATCGCCCTTTGCCTCTTCATCTGAGCATTCATCAGAGAATGGCAGTCTGCGTTTCTCAACCCCTCCAGGGGAACTGGACGGTGGGATGTCAGGTCGTAGTGGTACAGGCAGTGGGGGCAGCACACCGCACCTCGGGGGTCCTGGAAGACCCGGCTCCAAGGACGGCCGTAGGAGTGATACTTGTGAGTTTTGTGGCAAGGTGTTCAAGAACTGCAGTAACCTAACAGTGCACCGGCGCAGCCACACAGGGGAGAGACCATACAAGTGTGAGCTGTGCAATTATGCTTGTGCCCAGAGCTCCAAACTTACACGCCACATGAAGACCCATGGTCAGGTTGGCAAAGACGTGTACAAGTGTGAAATTTGCCAGATGCCATTCAGTGTCTACAGCACTTTGGAGAAACACATGAAAAAGTGGCACAGTGACCGTCCTTTGAGTACCGAAATAAAGTCAGAGTAGAAGGCAGAACTATGGGACCTTTCCCCCACAGCTATGTGCACCATTAGTCCCGTGTTTATTCCCAGCTCCTTGTACATTTGCCCCAACCCCCACACTCCACTTTCACCAGTTTGGTGGAAGTTTAAGACCATGTGCTCTGCACCAGCACACCCCGTTTCCATTACCCATTGAATGCATGATCTGTATCGGGGCAATACTCTTGCATTAACGCAAAACTTCGAGCCTTTCTCTTGTGCAATAATTTACATGTTGTGGACTAGTTTCTTTTTTGAGTTTTCCTTTTTCCATTTTTAAGAATTAGTCAGCATGCATAGTATGTTTTTGCTAATCAAAAAAGAAAAGAACTTGTCCCTGGTTGGTTAGTTGTTGAGTAAATGTGTTGATGTTTTTCTCTTGTTCTGTTTTTCCTTTTTATTCTACACAAAGATAAAAGACAAGAAAGATACTTCCATGCTGCATACATTCTGTAACACATACCATGTACAATTTTGTTTTGTAACATGGAAAGTGAACACTCTATGAATAGACCCTCTTCTTAGAACCCTGGAAATGCACCTATCTGGATCTTTCTAAAAGACAGTGTTCACAGGGGTTTTAAAAATCATGCATTGGCTTGATGACCTAAAGCGAAAGTAATGACAGCTTTCAATTTTATTTTAAAAAGACAAGGGTGTGCTAAGAATTCAATGTGTACTATCATTTGGTAGAATATGAAAGAGTGCCTTCGATATCTCAAGTCTGCATTGGCCATAATCTTATCTGGTATAAGTTTGGGGTCCACTAGATAAAGGTAAAAGGTTTAAGCCACCCAGGAAAGGTTCTTGTATCAAGCACCTGACTGCTCAAATGGACTGTGACAACTCATGATGAAAGGTCAGAGTTCTCATTAATCATCATTTAGCTACCTATTACATGTTCAGTAGGCTATGTTTAATATGTGGATTTCATGAAAAGCATGGTACAAGCAGTATTGTGTATATCTGAATTATTTGTAGTTTTGGTTCTGGTAAGGAGGTACTTTTGAGATAAAGGTAATCTGTAATGTACAATCCTGAACTTAAGGGATACAGCGCATGGCTGAGAAGTGTCATGTATCTGCGTTAGCACAAACATAAAACACTGCTTCAATATGTCAGTGTGTGGAACAATGCATAAAGTAATATATGAGCTACAAGAGAGGCTAACTTTATTTGACAGTATTGAAGTAACTACAAGCTGGACAGACAGAAAGCTACTCAGAACTGGAAGCTGCGTACGTATTATGGAGATCAGACCACAATTTCTTTCCCTTACATTTCTACTATCAAAACAGGGTCATCAACTCTGAATTTCAGTAAAAAGACTGAACAGCAAAAAATAAAAAAAAATATTTGTACTCCAGGTCTCTTAAATGAAAATGTGATCATGTTAATCAGGATGCATAGACTAATGCAGGGCACATTCTTTCTTTCCTGTTGCTTTTAATGCAAAATGAGTGTTTTTTTTCCTTTTATTCCAGCTGTTCATAGCATAGCACTTAACACTCTGCCAGAGCGTATGGACATTTCTCTGTCATTGTCCCGCATTGATGCAATGTTGGTACATGGGTTGAGTCTAAAAGCTAGATTGTCAGTTATAGAAGTGCACTGTTTAAATTTTCCCAGTTTACAAGTTTACACTGAAGGGTAAAACATTCTTGAAATGCTGTTGAATGACAAGGGTTCCATTGTTAAAAGCAGTAAAAGATGGCACAATCTGTTGTCAGCAACTCCAGCCTCATGACCCTTGATCTCTGTACTCTTGCTGTTTCATCTTTGATCATTTGTCAGTTTATTACCCCTAGGAACCCCATGTCTTAGCACCTGGGCTGAAAATTCACTCTGTCATCAAGATCTGTAAATTTAAAGATTTGATATGTTTCACAATTAATTGGTGCTGCTACATTGTCGCACAACAGATCAGCTCTCATTGGCCACAGCAGCACCAAACATCCACAATTTGAAGGAGCTGCATTGTCACATTATTGATCTGTATATCTAATTTATAGAACTTGATGGCTAGAGTACAAACACTCAAATTTTGTTACACAGCAAAAATCTGTTTTTGTATAAATCTTCCTTTAATTATAGATATGAAAATAAAAGTCTTTGCAAATAACACTTCACTATCTTTTAGGGGAAATTGTATTTAAGTTTTGTTGTTGTTTCTCCTTTCATCAGTGTCTCGGTGGTGTTCAAGACTCCAATCACAGTATATATGAAATGATTAAAAAAAGATGAAAAAAGCAAAACAAATAAAAACTTCTGTGATGGTTTTGTATTTAATTTTGCCTTGGCTCCTCACAGCTCTTCAGGTTGAAATACAATTTGCATTGGGGAAAAGGATTAAAAATATATATGAATATATAATAAAGAACTTAAAATATAGGAAAATGCACACTCATGTCGATTCCTATGCTTAAACACATTTATGATCTACTTTCTTCTGTATTTCTAGAATTGTATTTGAATTCAATGTTCACTTAGAGTAGGCACTATAGTATTTATATTGAGGCTCGTATTTTTAACTGTTGCTTGTTCTCTCAGAAGGTATTTACTGTACCTTTTTTTGGTAGTGGAAAAAATCCCATGCTGCCACAGTATATTTTTTTTATTTGGCAGGATAATATAGTGCAAATTATTTGTATGTTTAAAGAAATAAAATGAAAAACCCCATAAAAAAGTATCTAAATTATGTGGCATTGGGAGGCATCATGGGCCATCAGATGGCTGCCGCTCTGTTTCCTGTCCACAGAGGTGGTTGTATATATCTTCTTTGGATTTTGGTCCTTTCCGCCCCCCGCCTCCCCGCCTGCTGCCATTCTTGCAGTAATGCAAGCTGACGTCGACCTGTTCTGTTGTGTGCTTCTGTCTCTCACCACTCCCACTTGACTACATTCCAACATCAAGAAAAGAGGAAGAAAAGGGGAAAAAAGACTTAATAGGAGGAAAAGGAAAATAAAACTTCATATGCAGTGCATTAATTATGAAAAAAGCATCAAAATAAATACATTTAAAAAGAAATTAAATGTTTTGCAGTTTTTTCATTGCCAAACACTAAATGGTGCTTTATATTTAGATTGGGTATACTTTCATATGCAAAGCATATTTAAAATTGACCTGGGGGATGCGAAGAATCCTGCTTGAGTTTAAACTTTTTTGTAAATGGCAATGTGGAATATTTTGTTATCAGCATTTTCTATTCCTGTTCTGAGAGCTGTCTGTTGTAACTTGAACTTGAACTTTATCTTTTACTATGGGAGTTACTATTTATTATTACCTGTATGCTCTGTTCAAAACAGAGACATGGAATGGATCCTTATTTTTGGTTTCTTTTAATTTTATTTTATACTTTTTGTTCTAATATTTTTTTTCCTTTTGTAATGGTGGCAGATGGTCATTTGACAAATCTAGCTTTTTAATTTCTGATGTACTTGTTTGGGGTCTCTGTTAAGTTGTATTGGGAAAACCACTGTCTGTGTTATCTGGCAGATGTCTGCATAATCCTGTTCACACACCCATTTTGTCTCTTTATCAAAAAACAGTTAATAAAAAAATGAAAGTATAACGGCCCTTGTCAATTATCTCCACTGTCTCTGTCAAGTTATCTCAAGTGTGTGTGCAATAACTCCCCGTCTACCTCTATCTTTTGCCTGCAACTGCACTGCTATTTACTGTATAACCCCTTCATATAATTATCATCTTATTTCTTAAGAAAATATTTATTTCTCATAAACCATCTAGTGGAAGCATTGTGTGTGTGTTCTTCTACTTGATACATAGTGAGCACCAAAAAAATTTTTATTTTTATTTTTGTATGGAGTGTGGACATTTTTGCAAAGCGAGAACATGCCAGTCCTCACTTTCTGAAACACCTTCTTGAGGATTAAGTCTTAGTTTTAGGGTTCAGCTTAGAATTAGGTTTAGGTTAGGGAGACGACCCCCAGCCCCTCCCATGTCCTCACAAAGATGAAAGTAAAAGTGTGTGGGGGGGTCTTGTTTTTCTATACTTGTGCGGTGCCAAAACCGGGAGCACACAGTCTTTGTGGATATTGCTGAATTTTACAAAGATGACATGGTTTAAGGTTGGTGCGAGCTTAGGGTTAGTGATAGACAAATATCAATTATAAAAATGAATGCAAATCTATTAAAAATCTGTTAAGTGTCAAAAAAAAGATGTGCATGTGTGTTATGGATGTTGGTGTTGACCTGTGCAGGATGTTTTCCTAATTGATATGTTTTTTGTAATGAGGCTTTGGGCTGTTGCTTGAACCCAGTCAACTCAGCACTCCATCCCCAACCTCACCCTATCCATTAGTCTTGTCCTATATGTACAAGTGTATATAGAACAAGTCCAGTGAAACTACAGAAACTCCCCAAACCTGTCTGCAGTGTCATCTTCATAACCAATGCTCAGGGCAGCCCAAATGCTTTAATGCATTTGTGTGAAGATGCATCACACCATTTTCACTTAGTTCACACATTAGTTCACACATGCATGCCACTCCTGGTACAATATAGTATGTATTGTTGATAATAACTGTTCACTATGTACACACACCATACACATAGAGTACAGTATATGAACACCTATGCTTCTCTCACAGAAAGTCCTTAAGTAAATATTATTATGTCCTCCTGTTTGCACAGTAGTCACAAAAAGCCTAATACATCTGTCAGGATCAATCAGCACTATATCCTCCAGCCACCACACCCCTCTGTTCAGGTCTCTCTTTCTCTCTCTCTCTCTCTCTCTCTCACATGCACACACACACACACACACACACATACATAAATGTGCAGAAAGCATCAATACATATTTGGATGTAATTTAGTGTGAGGATGCTAATTATTAAATAAAGCATACTTAATTATTTAACCACTTTCCATGCAAATCCTAAAACAAAACTCTACAATACAATGCCAATATTTTTAGTGCATTTGTAAAAGAAAATAGTTGTATCCCATCTATTGTCATAGTATTTCATAGTGCAACCTTCCAGCTAAAAATGAAAACTGCTCCTTAACCTCAGTAGATGAAGAAAGCCTAGCTCTTTTCCAGATCTAGTTAGTATTCAGTTCAGTATTATAGAAAACTACTGAATGGTTACTTGCCAATATTACAGGGTCAAGTAGCACTTTCTTTTGGTAATGCTGAGGTGCCCTTGACCAAGACCCAACTTGCAGAGGAGTTCAGTGGAAGGCATTGGTTGCAATGGGCAGTTAACAGGTGTGTGGCTGTGCTGCACTGTTTGAATGCAAAAGCAAGCTGTATCTCAAAAAGTGTACAGTGTACAGTGCAACCAAATAAGCAATTAGCATTATTTACTGAGAAGGTTTTGGCACAGACTCAGACTCATCAGTGCCAGGGCCCGAGCAGATCCTGGCAGAGTGCTCTGCAGGAGGGTGTCTGAGCCTGCCCCAGAGAGGAGTCTTGAGCCCTCTGGTGGTAGGTGAAGTTTGGGTGGCAGTGGGTGTCTGTGAGATGAGCAAGAAGGACAAGGCAGAAAGGGACCATTTATCAATCACAAGAAACGGAACTGAAAGTCAGAGCAGGGCTGTGATTGGATGAATGAAAACAGGTCAGTGGCTCTGCAGGAAGGGATTCGAGCCTGCTCCAAAAACTCATCTGTGCAAGAAGTGAGATCTGTTAATCCAGAAAACTGATACCAGACCATGTGATCATGTGACCATGTGAAGAGGTGAGAAAGACTTATGGCAGATGAAAATTTTGTAAAATAAGATCATAAAATATGATGTTGATTTAACCTTAAATAAACATTAAAATGCCAGCTGGGTATGTGCCACCATAATGCCAACCACCAGTACTTGCAATACTTACTGAGAAGCTGGACAAAAATATGATTCACTGAGCCTCAAGGTTAAAGGAATTACTGGGGTGAATGTTCATAATGTGAGGGGGAATACCACTCAGGCCAGCAGTGGAAGCAGCACCAGTGCAAAAAGAATAAGAGGAAAATCTTGAAGGAGAATAGCCTGAACCCAACAATAATAATTGGAAGCAATTACAAACAGGAAAACAAATTTTCAAGCATCTGTTCTCCTACATGTCTTAAGGAATTTAAGAGTGCTGGCATAAGGGCAGAACTCACTGTCATTACATGCAATTGAGATGTGGGTGTCACTTTGAGAATGTTTGAGGAAAATAGTGAGCACAGATCCATAAAATGCAAGGTCCTACTCACTGAGGTCTTGGCAAGGATTGAAAGGAGGAGATACTGAATTCACCACTTGGAATGTTTGGGTTAGAGCACCTGGCATGAAATTGGATACTTGCCATTATGCTGTGAATGAATGAGGGGAGCAAGTGACAATAATCAAAACAAAAACGTAGAAAGGTAGTGACTGTAGAAATTAACACACTGGAGTAATAGGCAGAACTGTAGGACTTGAGGGAGGGTATGGAGAGACTGGCCCCCATGTATTGAGCGGCAGTTGAGGATGGGTTTTGTTACGAGGGTGATAAGTGAGGATCAGCTCTGCAAAGGAAAGGTAGATGAAGGGGAAAGGTTTTTGCAGAGGGGATTCTTTGGTGACATTCCTGAAATTTGAAACAGGACAAACAACAACATTGTTATCACAACCTGGAATATCCTTCACTTTGATAATGAAGTTGTTTTGGACAGAAAGCCAGGTTATGCATTTAAAATGTTACTTAGGTAAAAGTATGAAGTAGAAGTTCATTATGCAGAATTTTACATTGATGTATATCATATCATTGAATTATAATTGCTGTGCATTACAGCAACACTGGTAAAGGTGCGGCTAGTTTTAACTACCTTATATGCTTATAATTTTAAGTATTTTATCTCAAGTGAAGTTACTTGTAGGTGAATTTGGCTTGCAGTACAAGATAGAGAGAGGGAGATAGAGAAACATCCATAGTAATAACACACATATAGACAAACATGTCACACAAACAAAAATACATACACAGTACCTACGTATATTCACATCATCACTATTAAGATAATGAAACTGAAACATCTATGTTATTTGTACCCTTCCCTATGACTTATTCATACCAATAATGTCTGTTGGGACAAAACTATTCCTATATCAAGTTGTTCTGCACGTTTGGAAATTTAAAGCATAATCCAGAGGGGAGAAGTTGGAACTCGCTGTACAAAGGGTGTGTCATCATTCAAAATTGAGCCCAATAACCGCTGCACCTGTCTAGTGTACAAAGTAGTTAAACTAGGTTTTAGCTCCCCAATCAGCTTACTAGTCCACTTCACAGTGTGGTTCAGAGAATTTCTGCTTTTCAGAGATAAAAAGCCAAACCATGTTGCTAAAAAAAACAAAACAGGATTGATTCTATAAGCCTCGATAAAAGAGAATCATCATAGTTTTGTTAATATGAAAGCAGAACAATCTTAGCTTATGAAATTTCCACCAGAGATCAATAAAGTCTTATTATTATGCGGTAATTTTTATATGAATCTGGTTCTGAAAAGTAACTAGTTACAAAATAAATGGAGCAAAAAAAGCACAATAATTGCCTCTAAAATGTAGCAAAGTCAAAGTGTGAAGTAGCAAAAAATGAAAATAATCAAGTACAGATACCTCAAAATTATACTTAAGTACAGTACTGGTTAAGGCGCAGCGGCGAGAGGTTTGAATCAGGGTTGCGTCGGGAAGGGCATCCGGCGTAAAACGTGCCAAATGTCAACATGCAAATCATCAGTGTGACGATTCGCTGTGGCTACCCCTAAACGGAAAAAGCCGAAGGTGGCTTTTTTACAGTACCTGAGTAAATGTACTTAGGTACTTTCCGCCACTGCGGCTCTGCTCATTTACAACACCAGTGTTAGTAAATACACCCAAAAATAAAATAATTGCGGTGCTGCAATATTTTCCGCACCTGACAGT